ATAATAATCCACAGGTGAAAATGCCCGGTAGAACGGGATATTTCCAAGAGATGATCATACTGCATTAAGGACAGTGGGGACCCCCCCAACCCGCTCACACCGTGCCCCAGATACCAGAGAAAAATGGAATTGGCAAACATTCAAAGACACAGCAGTAGCTTTAAAAGACACTCCGGGGCGGAAGCCCTGGGGGGGGGGCTTGCCTAGCCAAGAGTCACCCACTGGAGCTTTGCTTCCTGGTGGGCCAGCCCTGAAGTCAGCTGACACCCGCTGCTACTCTGATGTGGCCACCAGCAGCATCACTGACTGATGCAGGGGATTATTAAAAATAAGAAAAGAGACATAAAGGGGGGAGGGGAGTACTGGGACAGTCTAGGTGAGTGGGAGAGGAGATTTAGGTTGGTTACAGTTAAGATACGTTGCATGTGTACATAAAACTACCAAAGAATAAAAGACTGTCCCTTTAAAAAAAAATTCCGGGGCTGGGGAGAGGGCTCAGAGGTTAAGAGCACTGCATGTTCTTCCAGAGGTCCTGAGTTCAATTCCCAGCAACCACATGGTGGCTCACAGCCATCTGTAATGATATCTGATGCCTTCTCCTAGGGTACAAACATGTACACAGATAAAAAAAAACTGTATACATAATAAATAATTTTAAAAAGTAAAAATTAAAGGTCCATGCCTTTAATCCCAGCACTTGGAAGGCAGAAGCAGGCGGAACCCTGTGAGCTTGAGGCCAGTGTGGTCTACAGAGTGAGTTCCAGGACAGCCAGTGCTATACAGAGAAACGTTGTCCCAGAAAACCAACAACAACAACAAAATCTGCCTTAACCAAACTGAGCAGCAGTATCCATAAGCAGTGGGAACCCCCTGTCTTTCAGACCGTAAGCTGCGGATCAAAGAATGCATTGAAACTGGGGGGGGGGGGGGGGGCGAATGCTGTGTCGTGACTGACTTTGTTAGTAACGTTCATGCATGATTATGGGAAAACCTTGTAAAAGGCTTAGACTTCAGTGCACTCCCTTTTAGGTGTAAAGTCGTTGATGGGTGAGGTAGCCAAACCCGCAGGTGGGCTGCAAACCCAGACAACTGTGTCCGTAGAGCAGGAAGGGAACGCTGAGTGGGCGAAATCAACTGCCAGGCTTTCCTCCAGAACTAAGTAACAACGGCAGGACCTCGGTTCCTGCCAGTAAAGGCAACTAGAAACGTTCCAGACGAGATAAGAGACTGGGGCCTGGCCACTCTTTGAAGCCAGAGCCCCTATTCCCAGAAGGACCTGGGAAGAACGATAATGGACCAGATGCTAAAGCTCCTTGCTTCATAAGAGACGGCCCTAGGCTGCCTCCCCGCCAGACCTCCGGGCAGCCTGCTCGCGGTCTCCCAGCATGGACCTGGAAGGCGATAGTGTCCCCAGTGAACACCAGAACTCTGTGATGATGCCCAGGGATGGCCCCCAGGGCCAGATGGATGCAGAAGTCACAAGAGCACACTGGAAAACCTCATGCTCCAAATGCACCTTCCCCAGGACGGGCGAAGGCCACCCCAGCACTCAGAAGGCCAACGCGGGGGGATTGCCATGAGTCTGAGGTCAGCTTGCACTGGATACTGAGTCCCTGTCCCAAAAAGAAATGAAAAAAAATTTTTAAGGAAAGCTAATGCTAAAATTAACAATCAGAACAGATTCAGTCAGGGTCACATCGTGTTCTGGAGCAGTGGACCGTGAACTTAAAATGCTTCTATTCAGAATGTCCAGAGACGGCGCTGTCACAGAACCTAGCAGGCGACTGTGTCTTGAGTGGATGGGTAGGCAATGTTTAGAAATATGGGGGAAAAAAATTCATGGGAACTGGAAGGTGGGGCGGGGCTGTAGAAAGTCCGACCTTTAGCGCACAACTCCAAAACCAGCCGCTGCAAGGGTGAGCTTTAAAATGACAGCCGAGGGATAGAGAAAGCACTGACTACTCTTCCAGGGAACCCGGGTTCAGATCCAGCACCCACACGGCAGCTCACAGCTGTCTGTAACTCCAGTTCCAGTCAACCCAGCACCCTCTTCTGCCTTCCCTGGGCACTGGACATGAACATAGTGCACAGGCATGCATGCAGGCAAAACACCCGTACACATAAAATAAAAATCCATTACAAAAAATCAACTGATGGAACACGAGTCCTATGCCCAGTTGCCTGTAGTAACCTTTCTATTTTTTTGGACTGCCTTTGGATCACCAGCCCCCACATAACTTACTAACTATGGAAGCTTGGCCTTTAGCTTAGACTTGTTTCCAAGTTGCTCTTATAACTCAGCTAGCCCATATTCTTTAATCCGCTTTCTGCCAGGTGGCTCGGTTACCTCTCCTCGGTACACACATCCGACTTGCTCCAAGTCAGCGGTTGAAATCTCCTTTCTTCTTCCCAGAGTCCTCTGCGCGCGGAAGCCCCGCCCATCCTCTTCCTGCCTAGCTCTATTTCACCAGTCACAGCAATGCATCTCCACACAGTGTGCAAATGCCCCGCAACAGTTGCCCACGGAACTGCTTCATTAGAAGCGAGTTCTGAGTTCTCCCAGGTCCGAGCAAGCAAGAGAGGGCTGCAAAATGTACGCCCTTGCTAGGGAAGCCAGGAGCGTGTGTCCACAGGAAGAAAAAAAGGCGGAGGGAAGTAGCATTGGGAGATAACTTCTAAAACCTGAAGCGAGTTGCGTCGTTTGTGCCCCGCGTGCAGTAGGGATGATCCACGTTGTAAGCAAGATGAAAGCGACGCTAGAAAATCGAGGATTCGGTGAAGTCTCAGCAGCTGCCGCAATAACAACTGAACCGAGCTGGCAGTGGGCATCTCACCAGAGAGTAAACAGGAGGGAACGGAGTCGTGTTTTCAGATGCGGAAGGGGAGATTACCTTCAACAGAATTGTAAAGCTTACCAGCATGCCAAACTGTTCCACAAGAAAGAAAGCGCTGTACTTAAGCTATCCCCAACTAAACAAAGTGGACACACACAATGGACTTAATAAATTAGGGTCAGTGCTTGTGAGGAAGAAGAAAGTTCTCGGCAGAGGAGGGGGATGGGAGTGGGTAGCAGGAGGTGAAAATGTATAAAATTCACCGTTCTAGAAAGAATAAAGATAATTTTTAATTTAAAAAAAGGTTGGTGAATAGATGGCTCTGTGACTAAGAGCGCGTGTGGTTCTTCTAGAGGATCTAATTTGTTTCCCATCACCCACCTGTAACTCCAGCTCCAGGGGATGCGGTGCCCTTTCCTGGCCTCTGTTTAACCGAAACACGTGTGGCATGCACATGTGTGTGCAAGCACATACATACACACACACATATATGTGTGAAAACCTTTTTTAAGACGCTTTTTATATGTATTTAGTACACAGCATCTGTCTGTATGCCCAAAAGCCAGAAGAGGGCACCAGATCTCATTACAGGTGGTTGTGAGCCACCATGTGGTTGCTGGGAATTGAACTCAGGTCCTCTGGGAGAACAGTCAATGCTCTTAACCTCTGAGCCACCTCCCCAGTCCCCTGTGAAGACCTTTAAAACACAGCTTTAGAGAGATTTTTTTAAAGGATAAAAGCAATAAAGGCATTTTTCAAACCTCCACGTTATGTACAATAACAACAGGTTGTAGCCTACATGATGTTGTTCAAGTCACTTCATGTAATGAGTTGGTCTCTTGAACCATAGACTAGGAATCGCAAGTGTCCTGCCTTCTGAGATCGAGGTGACAGTTAGCCAGGCACAGTGACACACGCCTGGAATTCTGTCGCTCGCAAGGTGGAAAGGAAGAGTTGGGCATTTCAGGGTGGTCCTTGGCTACATGGGAGGCCTTGGTACCCATGGGCAGCATGCTGCCCTGTCTAATAAAGGAAAATTCAAAAGTGACAATTAAAAAAACGTTAATCCCGTGACGCTAAGATAGGGACGGCTGCATGCCGAGCGCAGCATACTTGTGCTGCTGTTGCCGTTAGCAACACCATCATCACCTTCATCCCTAGGACAGGTGCTCCTTCATGCTCCCACGGACTGCCGTCACTCCTAGAGGGACTGGTGGCGGCCGTGGGTGTCTCTCAGCCAGTGGACATCTGGGCACCACGTGCGTTACTAAGCCTTGTGTGCCTCAGCTGGCTGTCAGCTTTGCAGCTCTGTCTGTCTGTCTGTCTGGTGGGGCTCCAGGACCCTTGTTGCACTCTTGCTACACACAGGCCCGCTTTGTGGCTGAGTTCAGTTCCTTCCTCTGTAACCAATGCAGAGGCCTTTGTTGTCACAAGGTCCTTGCTCCTGCGGGAGTCACCACACACCGGGTCTCTGGTCTTTACAAGGTACAGACTTCTTGTCTACATCTGCCGAGGCGCAGGTGTGGAGGTCGGTTCTCTCCTTCTGCCGTGTGGGTTCCTTGGTTCAAACCCCAGATACCAGGCTTTAGCAGCCGGTGCCTTTAGCCACCGCCTCACCAGCCCCAAACCAACTCCCCTCCCCCGCCCCCACTTTATTAATTCCATACACCGAGACTCTTGTGTTCTTTGGTTGCCGCTCATCCTCCGAACCGTTGCTCGCCGTCCAAATGGTCCTGGGTTGCCGAGCCTCTTTGTGGGGTGACTTCTGCGCTGTGGTTTCGGGAGTACCCTGCCTCCTCCCAGACAGTTTGCACCCTCTCTCTTCTGCCTTGTGCCCCCTAGGAGCTGCTTGGCGTTCTTAACGCCATAGGCATCTCAACAAAGCCCTGGCACGTCAGAAGACTGCCCTCCCAAGATCGTCCTCCGAGGCAGCACACGAGCACATGAGTGGGCTGCTGCTGAGCACTGTGTGTGTGTGTGTGTGTGTGTGTGTGTGTGTGTGTGTGTGTGTGTGTGTCTCCTCATGTCTCTAGAGAATGTGGGAAAGCTTCTGTCAGAGCCCCGTGGCATCAGAGCCCGTGGTGTTAATCGTGCCTGTAGCCCCTGATGTGGAAGGAAGGGAAACAGTAAACAAGCCCTCCCCCTCCCCCTCCCCCTCCCCCCCAGGAACTGTGTCCACGCTGCTTGTTTCCAGTGCTCACACCGTCTCATACACAAACGGAGACGGCGTTGAAAGCCACCCAGTCCAGGTGAGGATTCTCCCCAGCCGCGGTGAGAGAAGAAACGCAAAGGCTAAAAATACTTGAATATTCCCTAAACACTCCCATCGCCATGACATGACAGGCCCCAGGCCCTGACGATACCGCCGCTGCTTTGTGTCCTGGTGAGCTAAATCAGATGTCTCTTCCCCCCCCAACATGAGCTAAGAATAAAACCTTAGTGCTGGAAGCGAATGAATGTTAACGCTCTCCAGGCAGAGGAAATGGACAGCTATTAGACGCAACTGCTGCTTCCCTTTTGCGCTAACGACATTACGGGAAGCTCTTTGGGTAATATCATTTGAAGCTGTTGTCTCTTGTGTTCCAGGTCATGCAAGACAGGATCATCTGCCTTCCGAAGAGAGTGCAGCCTGCGCAGAACCACTCCTCTGCTTCCAACGCCTCCCAGGCGGTCATCGGTTCCACCCCGCTGCCTCCGCCTAAGCCCTCTCCAACCAGCCCCACCACCGTGGAGATGAAGGGGCTGAAGACGGACCTGGACCTTCAGCAGTACAGCTTCATCAACCAGATGTGCTACGAGCGAGCCCTCCACTGGTACGCCAAGTACTTCCCATACCTCGTGCTCATCCACACCCTGGTCTTCATGGTCTGCAGCAACTTCTGGTTCAAGTTCCCGGGCTCCAGCTCCAAGATAGAACACTTCATCTCCATCCTGGGGAAGTGCTTTGACTCCCCGTGGACCACACGTGCGCTCTCCGAAGTGTCTGGGGAGGACTCGGAAGAGAAAGACAACCGAAAGAACATGAGCAGGCCCAACACCATCCAGCCCAGCGGTCCTGAAGGCAGCCTGGTCAACTCCCAGTCTCTCAAGTCGATCCCTGAGAAGTTTGTGGTCGACAAATCCGCAGCAGGGGCTCTGGACAAAAAGGAAGGCGAGCAGGCCAAGGCCCTGTTTGAGAAGGTGAAGAAGTTCAGGCTGCACGTGGAGGAGGGTGACATCCTGTACGCCATGTACGTCCGCCAGACCGTGCTCAAGGTCATCAAGTTCCTGATCATCATCGCGTACAACAGCGCTCTGGTCTCGGAGGTCCAGTTCACGGTGGACTGTAACGTAGACATGCAGGACATGACGGGCTATAAGAACTTCTCCTGCAACCACACCATGGCTCACCTGTTCTCTAAACTCTCCTTCTGCTACCTGTGCTTTGTAAGCATCTACGGCTTGACCTGCCTTTACACCTTATACTGGCTGTTCTACCGCTCCCTGAGGGAGTATTCTTTCGAGTACGTCCGGCAGGAGACAGGAATTGACGACATCCCGGACGTGAAAAACGACTTCGCCTTTATGCTCCACATGATAGACCAGTATGACCCTCTCTACTCCAAGAGGTTTGCCGTGTTCCTGTCTGAAGTCAGCGAGAACAAATTGAAGCAGCTGAATCTAAATAACGAGTGGACCCCTGACAAACTGAGGCAGAAGCTGCAGACGAACGCCCACAACCGCCTGGAGCTGCCCCTCATCATGCTCTCCGGCCTCCCTGACACCGTGTTTGAAATCACGGAGCTGCAGTCTCTGAAACTAGAGATCATTAAGAACGTCATGATCCCCGCCACCATCGCCCAGCTGGACAGCCTCCAGGAGCTCTCCCTGCACCAGTGCTCCGTCAAAATCCACAGCGCGGCGCTCTCCTTCCTGAAGGAGAACCTCAAGGTCCTGAGCGTCAAGTTCGACGACGTGCGGGAGCTGCCCCCCTGGATGTATGGCCTCCGCAACCTGGAAGAGCTCTACCTGGTGGGCTCCCTGAGTCACGACATCTCCAAGAACGTCACCCTGGAGTCCCTGCGGGATCTCAAAAGCCTCAAGATCCTCTCCATCAAAAGCAACGTCTCCAAAATCCCCCAGGCCGTGGTGGACGTGTCCAGCCACCTGCAGAAGATGTGCATCCACAACGACGGCACCAAGCTGGTGATGCTGAACAACCTGAAGAAGATGACCAACCTCACGGAGCTGGAGCTGGTGCACTGCGACCTGGAGCGCATCCCCCACGCCGTGTTCAGCCTGCTCAGCCTCCAGGAGCTGGACCTGAAGGAGAACAACCTCAAGTCGATAGAGGAGATCATCAGCTTCCAGCACCTGAGAAAGCTGACCGTGCTCAAGCTCTGGTACAACAGCATCGCCTACATCCCAGAGCACATCAAGAAACTGACCAGCCTGGAGCGGCTGTTTTTCAGCCACAACAAGGTGGAGGTGTTGCCTTCCCACCTCTTCCTGTGCAACAAGATCCGATACCTGGACTTGTCCTATAACGACATTCGCTTCATTCCGCCCGAAATCGGGGTTCTGCAAAGTTTGCATTACTTCTCCATCACGAGCAACAAGGTCGAGAGCCTCCCGGACGAACTCTACTTTTGCAAGAAACTTAAGACTTTGAAGATCGGGAAAAACAGCCTCTCCGTGCTTTCGCCAAAAATTGGAAATTTACTGTTTCTTTCCTACTTAGACATCAAAGGTAATCACTTCGAAGTCCTCCCCCCTGAGCTGGGAGATTGCCGGGCTCTGAAGCGCGCCGGGTTGGTCGTGGAAGATGCTCTGTTTGAGACTCTGCCCTCAGACGTCCGAGAGCAAATGAAAGCAGAGTAGCTTATTTTTACATCGGAACATGACTGAAACACGCTTCTACCAAATACAGTATCAAGAATTAGGTAGTCTTAATGCCTTTCCTGTATTATTTTTGTTTTTTTTTGTGGGGGTTGTTTTGTTTTCGTTTTTTCACACAAGACAAAAATGTACACAAAGATTGAGTAAGGAGTATGTATTTTTAATAAAAATTTAATTGTATTTTTCAATATTAATATTTTAAAAGTTTTATTTGTCCTGGAAGCTATGACATCTGTTATTATTTCCTACCAATAAGAATGAGTAGTTCCATCTGGCTTTGGGTCTTTTTTTTTTTTGCCTTCAGTTCATTCTAGTAAGGAAAGGAACTCTAGATTGTGTGCATTTTGGCGTATTTGAAATGGCTGGAGATGACGTTGCCAACACCATTTATACCTTGTTTCTACTTGGCCCAGTCTTTGTTTGTGTTCTCGTTGTGTGTACCAAGGAGTCTGCGCCAGTTATTTTAATATCAGCTGCCTCCTAAATTTCCAGGTTTCCCCCCTCTGTAGAAACTCTGCATTGCAAGTTCACGCAAGTGAATTGTCACAGAGTGCTATCCCTCTGCCAACACCGTTAATTGTATAACTCCCTGAACGACAGTTTCAAGGTAGCCTTGGATGGGCTTTTTAAGTGGGTGAAGAAAGCAATGCCCGGCAGTTTCCATCCTTGTGTTTGTTGATCATTCGTTGCTTGACTAATTTGTATTTTTTAGCCAACATTCTAAAATTAGTTATTAAAAAAAATCATGTACAACTGCCCCTCCCCCATCCACCTCAGTATTGTCATGTGGTGAGCAACCTTAGGAACATTAGATTTGTTTTCATAGTCTAACAGATAATTAAATTTTAAATCATAGAATTAGAAGCCTGTTTTGAGTAATTTAATCATTTTTTTAATGTCTTGATATCGTGGACGCATCAGATGGTAAACAATCTCGGTACTCAGGCGCTCTGAAAAATCTGATCGATTCCACGCAGGCCCGCCCCTTCCTTGGGCCCTGTGCCCAAGTGATGATCAATACACTTCCTGCCTGCTAAACAGACCAGCCTGATATACACGTACGTATAGTCATCAACTTCCCGCAAGCCTGCCCTCGATGCGTGCACCAGTGACGCCAGCATGGGAACGCCTCGGCTGTCTGCTTAAAATTGTACCCCCCTTAAGTCGGTCCTGACGTTTTCCAGATGGGTGACTAACAACCTGTAGGTGTTGTCACTTAGCAATAATCCCTGCCTGGTGGCTGGCAAAGCTTTTCCTTACCTTTGTCTTCCTGTATCCAGCCCAGTGTGGAGACTTGAGCTACACACAGTTCACTGGCTGTAAGGAAAAGCCTTAATGCATCCCTGAGAATAGGAAGGTGGCCTGGGGTTTGACATCCTGTTTGAAGCATGTTTTCTTGGTCCCCTCCGTGACCTTGCCCAGCCCTATCTTTTGTGACATGCAGGCATGTAGAAGGCGACTCTGGCAGGCACTGGGCGGACACACAGACCTCATTTCACTTAAGGGAGAGAGTTGTAAGGGTGTAGCTCAGCGATGAAGCATTTGCCTGGCAGCAAGGCCCCAGAGCCTGAGGCTTAATCACGAGACACTAGGAAACAGACTTGGAGGGAGGGGTGCAATGCTCATCATTTTGAGTGGGTGAAGAAAGAATAACAGATCCGTGTGATGGGCCAGCCATGCTGAGCAAATGCTTTTTTTTTCCATTTAAGGTTTCAGTCATGATGTCATTAAACCTGGAATTGAAATAATCATTTTCTGAAATGCTGTTATGGCTACACTTCTTAGAAGAAATACCCAGTTTTAGCATATGGAGATCCTGAGTATGAGTTCTGTGTCGTGTTCAGAGACAGGTCTGTGTTAAGGAAGGACTGTTAGGGGCAGACTGCTATTGAGCAAGAGTAACCTGTCGTGGAAAGGTAAACTGAGTCGGTGAATCCACTGTCTTGATTGTTAAAATTTATGGTCATTTCCAGCATCACCCTTCAAAGGGGTTAAATACCATATTTATGCTGAAGTTTTTATGTGGCATTAACTGAAAATCCCATATGGGTTCACAACTAAAATAAGTCACCAATAACTCAATTTTGTCAAAGCTTCCAAAATAATTAATGATTCTGCAGGCTGACTCCCAACCTAAGTTGTAAATAGCACTCAATAAACCACTACAAGTTCGTGACCTTATGTTTTAAGCAAGAGGAAAATATTCACAGATGTTTCTATTAGATTTTATAAAACTTCCTAAGCTTCAGACTTGACTTGGAATAATTTAAATTGTCTGATCCTTGTCCTTTTTTAAAACAGTCAGCTTTTGTTCACATTCTTTGAGTAAAATGCCTTCAATCACTATCTAGCCTTCCAACCGGACACTCAGGTACCTGAACTGCTGAATTTTCTAACGTTCGTTGATCCAACTCAGCACACAGAGGCCGTCGGCCTCTCGCTCTATGTTTTCCAAGTGCTCTTGCTGAGGAGGATCAGCCAGCTCCTTGTCCAACCTCTTGATCCACAACAAATCCCTGTGTCAACCACTAATGTGCCATCAGTATCCTGAACTCCAGGCGCAGCCTAAGCTCCAGGTGGGCAAGCTGTATTATGGGGTCTAAGTCACAGAGTCCAGAAAAGGCAGCTGTCTGGTGGTTGTCTGGTTGGAGGTCCCGATAGATCCCCATCTAAGTGACTGGCAAGATGGCTTTGCGGGTGAAAGGTGCTTGCCACCCAGACCGAGCGCCTGAGTTTGATTCTCAGGGTCCATACAATGAAAGGAGAGGACCTGCCCCCCTTAAGTTGTCCTCCGGCCTCCACACAGGCACCATGGCATGGGCGCCTACACAAAAATGCACACACAGACTAACTAATGTCATTTTTTTTATTTATCATGGAAAAACACACCTAAGAAGATAACACCCCAGAATAGTATTGTGTTTTCTTATTACAGGATTTGATCTGGTTTTGCATATCTAAACTCTAGATAAGATAAAAATCCGATGCCTACGTGTGTAGGTTCCTGGCATTGCCCACCCAGCTCGACCCCGATGCTGTAATGAGCTCCAGCAGTCTCCCATGGTGTCTTGAGCTTGAGCAAGCAGGACCGCTTTTAACGGCAGCTTGGGAAATTTTCCTGCCCCACAGATTTTGTTCATTTGGACCGTAGGTCCTGCTTCGAAAGGGTCTGAGACGACTCGGTCTCTTTTGGGTTTCTCGACACAAAAAGAAGCCCGGTTTCTTACAGCATTCTTGTTTACAGTTTCTGTTTGTCTCACTCTCTAATCGGTTCCGTACCAGATGCCCGATCAACGGCATTGGCATTTCAACAGGAACCCTTACGGCTCAACAATACAAAATCCGTTAGCATTACTCTTGCCAAATAATAGAAATGCTGACTTGGTCTCAGCCCTGCAGAGAGTAAACTTAAGACCTCGCATTAGTGTTGTCCCTGTGACTCCTGATTTGTGATGGTGCTTAAAAGAAACAACACTGGGGCAGAATCCTAAGTACAGGCAGAGTCCTACTCGTGGCGACCTCGAGGAGACTTTCTAGAAAGGTCTGTGTGATGTCTGCATCTTACCCCTTTAGGGAGGGACAAAGAAAACTCCACAGTCGTCTTACGGAGAGCCGCCATGGGTTTTCAGACTTAACTCCCCAGTCTTCAAGCTTCTGATAATTTGGTTATCAGCCTTCCAAACAAGTACCCTGTCCCCTTCCCCTCCCCCAGAGTCGCCCACTAATAAAGATGACATCTTTATGTTTATCTGAGGGAGAGAGAAAAAGAGCCTCCCTCTGCCCCCCAGGAATTTTTTTTTCAATCAGAGGGATATAGAACGTGTACTGCGTGACTTTACTGACCAAATAGCAGCCACTCTGTAATAGGGTTTGGCTTGGTTTCTGAGCCGGGGTCTTCCTCTGTAGCCCAGGCTGAGCTTGAACTTGAGAACTTCTTGCCTCGCCTTCCTGGGCGCTGGATTACGGGTGTTCACCCTTGGCCCGCATGGTTTCTAATGTATTTGTTTGTGTCTCCATTCTCTCACTGCGCTGCTTTTTGGGGTGGACACTCCACGCCCTATGTGCTCCCCTCGGTGTCTGTCTTGGCGTTGTTCACAGGCTGCCGAGTGCTGGCGAACTCTTGGACTGCCAAGAGAAAGGACCGAGCATTGATTTGTCATAGTACATGTTCGTGAAAGGAAATGTCTTAACGTTATTTGGCCATGTAGTGTACAGGAACAAAAGTAACTTAAATAAAGTCATTTTTGTAACTTAACTTGGGGCCGCATCCTTTTCTTAACGTGTTTGCAGAAGTCGTGACCATCTTTTGTTCTTAAACCGTCACCAGGGTTCTCTGGGCTGCTGCAGGAAGTAGGCTCGTTGACTTTTGCCATGGGAGCCGGGTCTTTATAACTGTGAATAATTGTTTCCTTCCTTGATACACTGCGCTGCATCTTACCTAAAGCGTCCCCAGAGTTTCATTTGTGTAATTAGTGCTTTAATGTATAATCTGGAGTACAGCTTTTGTACATTTGCCAGATCCGATCGTACAATGGCTACCCAGCTCACTTAAAGGAGCGAGAGCGGTCCTGCACAGCCAGAGAGACATTCTCACTTATGGAGGCCCCGTTACAGGACCGTTCCCCATACTGTTGTGTAGAGAGAAGCCTTTTCCTTGCCAGCCGCTTTGGTTTTTCCCCACCAGTCGCCTGGGCTCTGCCGAGTTGCAGTCCCCAAATAACACACAAGACGCTGTATTAATTATGAAGCTGTTGGTCTTGCTTGTTTCTTACTGGCTAGCTCTGACTTAAGTATTTACTCCATAATTGTTAATCTAAGTAGGCCCCGTTACAGGACAGTCCCCCATACTGTTGCACAGGCATAAGAAAACCGTGGCCAGTGCTGATGACTCCCATAGCTCGGCTGTCACCACGCCTGGTTTCTGGGTAGAATTATGTTGCTGGCAGTCACTTCTGGGAATGATGGTTGTGATGAAGGTGGTTGTGGGAGGTGCTGAATGCGTTATGTTCCAGAAACAGAAGCAACTAAGAGCTTTAGAGGCCAAAGCTGGCACCCCAGATTCCGTGTGTTGTGGCCTCAGAGCGGTGCTCACACCAGGAAAAGCCCCCGCCCGCTACCTTTCCATCTTCCAGAACTTCCTTTCATGAGGGGTGTCGAGATAGACGGAGACTAAGCAAACGATGAGGTTAGTTACTAGTGTTGGCTGGCATTTCATTTGAAGGAGAGCATGAGTGTGCCAGGGGAAAGTCCACCAAAGTCGACTTGAGATTGGCAGGGATGTGTCTTAGCCACGTCTGTGTTGCTGTGCTAACACACCATAACCAAGGCAATTAACAGAAGGAATGGCTACTTGGTTTCTGGCTCCAGTGGGTAAGAATGAGCCACGGCAGGGAAGCGTGGCAGCAAGCTGCAGGCGTGCCTGTGGAAATTCACAGCTCCAACTGCAAACAGGAAACAGAAATGGTGGGGTACTGTGAAACCTCAAAGCCCTTCCCAAGGACACACCTCCTCCAGTAAGGCCACACTTCCTAATCCTCCATTTGAATGTTTGATTCCCAGTAAGCCTGAGACTTACAGGAAACATCTCATGCAAACTGCCACGGTGCACTTCCAATTTTGTTGTTGTTTTTTAAGATTTATTTATTATGTATACAGTGTTCTGCCTGCATGTACACCTACACTCCAGAAGAGGGCACCGGATCTCATTATAGATGGTTGTGAGCCACCATGTGGTTGCTGGGAATTGAACTCAGAACCTCCAGAAGAGTAGTCAGTGCTCTTAACCTCTGAGCCATCTCTCCAGCCCCTCACTTCCAGTCTTAACACAGTGTAAGTTTGAGTGCCATCCTAAATAAGTAAGGCACTTTCTGTTAGTCATGGTAATTTTTGCATGTGAATCTATAAATGCAGGTTATAGCTTGGATTTCACATGAGTATGTTTTGAAAGTCCAGGTAATAATGGCTCAGCTTGTAATCCCAGCACTCAAGACACTGAGGGAGGTTGCTTCAAGTTTAAGGTTACCCTAGGCTATCTGAGTAAATTCCAGTCCAGGCTAGATTGCAGTATGAGATAGAAATAAGTAAATGTAAATTTAAAATAAACCTATTTGAACCCAGCAATGTACAAATGATCATTTGCCTGACATATCAGGCATATCATAAATGATTGTTTTCTGAGCTTTAACATTTTATATAAATTATACAAGTAAGCAACAATACTGTCAAACATCTACATCAAGTGGTCCATTGTAACTGACTCAGGAATTCTTCTGCTAGTCAAGACTGGAAGCAAGTAAGCCATGGGCTGTCTTCTTTGTCATTGTTGTTATAATTCCTTATAGAATTAATTTTATTTCATGTCAGCTTACATCCAGACATACAAATTACTATGTTTGAAGCCAGGCATCATGGTGCCCATGTATGATCTGACTGGACAAGCTGAGACTTGATGATGTCAAGGCCAGGTTTGGCTTCATACAAGACCCTGTCTCAAATAAACAAATAAATTGAAAAGTAAATATACCAGGTTTTTTTTCTGGGGCCACCAACCAGCTCCCAAATCATGACACAGACTTACTAGTTGTTTGTGTGTGTGTGTGTGTGTGTGTGTGTGTGTGTGTGTGTGTGTGGTTTTTGTTTGTTTTTCGAGACAGGGTTTCTCTGTGGCTTTGGAGGCTGTCCTGGAAGTAGCTCTTGTAGACCAGGCTGGTCTCGAACTCACAGAGATCTGCCTGCCTCTGCCTCCTGAGTGCTGGGATTAAAGGTGTGCACCACCAATGCCCAGCGAGACTTACTAGTTTTGAATGCTCAGCTTTATCTTAGCTCTTGTTTTAGTCTGCTTCTCTTTAACTACATTTTGCCTCCAGGTTTTTTGCCTTCCTTTCTTTCCTTCTTTCCTTCTTTCTTTCTTTCTTTCTCCCTTCCTTCCTTCCTACCTTCCTACCTTCCTTCCTTTCTTTCTATCTTAGTCTCCTGCTTCTCATGCCTGGCTGGCTGGCAGCTGCCTGGTTTCTGGCCCTGGGTGTGTCCTTCTCTTTCTCCCTTGTTCCCCTTGTTCTTCTCTCCTAGATTTTTCCTCCTACTTTTATCCTCTCTGCCCGCCAGCCCCACCTATCCCTCTCCTGCCAAGCTATTGACCATTCAGCTTTTTATTAGGCCAATCAGGTACCTTAGGCAGGCAAGGTGCAACAGCAACACATCTTTGCATAATTAAATAAATGCAGCATAAGCAAATGTAACACATCTTTACACAGTTAAAGTAATAAATACTCTGCAACATAAATGTAACACACCTTTACACAGTTAAAGTAATAAATACTCTGCAACATAAACAAATGTAACATACCTTTGCCTAGCTAAATATTCCACAACAGATTGGACCTTATTGCAAATCTCAGGAATATAGAAAGATATTGAGAAAAAAGACAGGTGTCCACTTTGCATTCTATATTTAATCCACAGTTACATTTTGCTTTTCTTTTTTTAAAGCAACTTCCAAGAAGTGATTTGATATGACCAGAAACTCACAGTGTTTCCTTCCTTTATGAGTTGTGAGGGTTCTTGGAATTCTAAGTTCCCAGTGTGGGGTAACTTTGTTAAGATCATATTCTCAGAGACACTTGGGTGGCTTCAGACATCTTTCTTAGGCTGAGTTAATCCAAGGGTTAACTTTGAGACTCATTGGTACATTGACACATAAGTGGCGAAAAGTTTAGGAAAGAGTTGACAGATTGTATTTGCCTGGCTGAGTTGTTTGCCTAACTTGTGTTTCTTCGGTGGTCAGTTTAGCTGGGTTTAGGGTCATTGTAGAAATAGTCCCTGCAACATGGCTGTGAGGAGTTTCAAGGTAAAGTGAATCGGGGTGGAAAGACTCACCCTAAAGATTAACAGCGCCATCCTCTGGGCTGGAGGGCCGCCTGGATAAAAGGGAGAAAGAGAACTGAGGGCCAGCACCCATTTCCCATTTCCCACTGCTCCCTGACTGCAGACACAAAGTGGCTGGCACTTTCTACCACTGCTATTGCGATGTCCTCGACATGGCCAACTACATCCCTGGAACAATAAGCCCAAATAAACCCTTCCTTCCTTGAGTCAATTTTTACTGCATGTTTTTAATCACAGAAATGAGAGCAGTAACTGGTACAATTTCTTTGTGATTTAGACTTCTTCATGAGAAATCCTTTATAGGTAGTCCATCCCAACGAATAATATAAAAAAAAGCCATGGATGGTAATCTTTTAAGCTGTCATGTCACAGACCTTTTTCGGTGAACGTGTATAGCAGGAAATCATCTTGCTCCAAATCAGAAGGCCACTTTGCTCTGCTCTCTCCAGGTCCTCTGCCCTGCAGTGTGACTCAGTGGGAAGCGGTCCTGTAGTCACACTCTGAGCCTCAACAACAGCATCAGCCCAGTAATGACTGTCACCTGTTTTACGCAGCAAGCAAGGGGCAGGGGTTGGCAGCCACTGGGTCTTCGAGTTCCTACCGTAAAAAAGATAAGTCAGAGCAACTCCATCTGAACCTTTATCTACATTAATGTTTAAGGCTAAGTACCAGGTAAAAGTTCAGACTGTACACACAGACACTGGGGGGGGGAGGTGCCGCCACTTGCTTACTAGGTGACCTGCTATTTAATGTGCCGTCCAAAATTTAGAATTTGGAGTTTAGTTCAAATTCTGCCAATGGGAGAAGGGCGGTGGGCAGGCATGCAGGACGCAAGTCTCAAGTTGAGTAAACCAGCTAGATAATGTTATCTAGGCTGAAGAGATGGTTCGGGTGTTAAGAGCACCGGCCACTCTTCCAGGGGTCACTTGGTTTGGGTTTAGGCTTTCTTTGGTGTAGCCTCAGCTGGTGTTGAGCTCAGTGGTCCTGACTTGGCTCTCTAACTGCTGGGACTGTGAGTGTGTCCTGCCACTCCCAGCCGCTCAGAGCTGTGTATCTACCACACGGCTGTGTTTCTGAGGGCTGCCAGGGGTGTGGCAGTTTGCAAGTCATCCTTGGTGACCCTGACTCATAGATCCACCTCACCTTTCCATAGGGCACTCTTCTGTAAGTGCCGGCATCTGCGTCCAAATCCTCCCTTCTGCAAGGACACGGTGTACCTAGTTTCCTTGCTGCCAATGTGATTAAAAAAAAATACCCCGACCAAAAAAAAAAAGCATCTTAGTGGGCCAAACATGGTGTCGTGTGCCTTAAATCCTAGCTCTCTCAGCAAGCAGAGGCAGGCAGGCCTTTATATAGTCTACATGGAGAGTGCCAGACAGGCCAGGGTTACATAATGAGACCCTGGACTTAAAAAAAAAGAGGAAAAGAGTTCATGTCAGCTCACAGCACAGCACGGTGGGAACGTGAAGCAGCACATCACATTTATAACAAAGAGCAGGGAGACGTGGCCGCATGGGCACTCAGTAGCCTGTTTGCTCACTCCCCTCTTGTACAGTTAGCATTCAGGCATCTGTGCTGCCCTGCCCTTGGGGTCCTGACAGGACACGCCCTCAGCTGCAGCCACTAAGAGCACCACCTGTGCACATTCACTATGTCCCCTTTTAAAAGGGTCCCACCCACCTCCCATCTCTCTCTCTCCCTTTCTCTTTCTCTCTCTCTCCCTCTACCTCTCTCTCTCTGCCCATTTCTTTTCTGCCACTCCTGTCCCCAGAGGCCACTCTCCCCTCTCCCCTCTCCCCTCTCCCCTCTCCCCTCCCACCCGTTCCCATTCACCATCCCCCAATAAAAAACTCTACTTGGGGCCCAACTCCTTCCATTCCTCCCCCCACTTGGATCTTCCTGGGCCTGCTCTGAGCATAGAGTGGACCTGCTCTGGCAGGATGGACCACCCTGAGTCTGGCCATACCTCACTCTTGGCCCCCTGTATGCCCTCCACCCTCCACTTGAGCCTTGCCACCCCCCCACACCTTCCCCTTGAGTGAGGAGAACATCAGGAGAGGCCGGACCATCCATTGTTGCAGACACTGAAGTCTTGGCTCACCTACACCACCCGGAGACTAGAGAAGAGGGAGAGACCCCATCTGCACCCACTTGAAGAAGGGATGGGAAGACTACAATATAAGAACACACTCAAGCCGGGCTGTGGTGGCACAAACCTTTAATCCCAGCACTTGGAAGGCAGAGGCTGGCAGGTCTCTGTGAGTTTGAGACCAGCCTAGTGTACAAGAGCTAGTTCCAGGACAGACTCAAAAAGCCACAGAGAGCCCTGTCTGGAAAAACCAAAAACATAAAATAAAAAAGAACACACTTAACAATAGAAAGACCAATATGACATCACCAGAATCTAGAGACTCCATCAACAAAACCTGAAAAGCTCAACACAGATGAAGCAGAAGAGAAGGACCTTAAAAACTATTTTATGAAGATGATAGAGACCCTTAAAGAGGAAACTAGAAAATTCCTTAAAGAAATGGAAGAAAAAATAAACAAAAAAAGCATGAAATGAAGGAAAAGACAAATTCAAGAAATAAATAAATCTCTTAAAGAATTTAAAGAAAGTCAAGAAAAAACAAACAAGTGAAGGAAACAATTCAAACAGTTCAAGGCTTTAAAGCTGAAATAGAAAAAATAAAGAAAACACAGGATGAGGGGATGCTGGAAATAGAAAAGCTGGCTAAATGATCAGGAACTACAGATGTAAGTATAACCAATAGAGAACAAGATATGGAAGAGAGAATCTCAGGCATTGAAGACTCACTAGAGGAGATACAGTCATCAACCCAAGAAAATCCTTAGTCCAACAAACCCCTAACACAAAATATCCAGGAAATATTGGAATCCATAAAAAGGCCAAACCATATAGAAGAAGGTGAAGAAATACAGCTCAAAGGTACAGAAAACATATTCAACAAAATCATAGAAGAAAACTTCCCCAACCTAAACAAGAATATTCCTATGGAAGTACAAGAAGCCTACAGAACACGAAATAGACTTGACTACAAAAAGAAGTATCCTCGTCACATAATAATCAAAACACCAAACTTACAGAATAAAGAAAAAATATTAAGAGCAGCAAAAGAAAAAGGTCAAGTAACATATAAAGGCAGACCTATTCGAATTACACCCAACTTCTCAATGGAAACTTTGAAAGCCAGAAGGTCCTAGATACATGTTCTACAAATGCTAAGGTAACATGGATGCCAGCACAGACTACTATACCCAGCAAAGCTTTCAATCACTATAGATGGAGAAAACAAAATATTCCACAACAAAACCAGATTTCTTTTTTTTTTTTTTTTTTTTTTTTTTTGGTTTTTCGAGACAGGGTTTCTCTGTGGCTTTGGAGGCTGTCCTGGAATTCGCTTGGTAGTCCAGGCTGGTTTTGAACTCACAGAGATCCACCTGCCTCTGCCTTCTGAGTGCTGGGATTAAAGGCGTGCACCACCAACGCCCGGCTAACAAAACCAGATTTAAACAATACATATCCACTAATCCAGCCCTACAGAAAGTAGTGGAAGGAAAACTCCAACCCAAGTAAGATAACTACACTCAACAACATAGGCAAAAGAGGGGGGATTCACACACAATAACACCAACAACAACAAACCCAAAACAAATACGAATCAACAATCAATGGTCATTAATATCCCTCAATGTCAGTGATCTTACTTGCCTATAAAAAGACAGGCTGACAGAATGGATACAAAGACAGAATCCATCCTTCTGCTGCATACCAGAAACACATCTCAATGTCAAAGACCCATGATGCCTCAGAGTAAAAGGCTGGGAAAAGATTTTCCAATAAATGGACCCAAGAAACAAGCTGATATAGCAATCCTAATATCTAACAAATTAGACATCAAACTAAAATAAATCAAAAGAGATGAAGAAGGGCATTTCATATTCATCACAGGAAAAGTCCATCAAGATGAAGTCTCAATTCTGAACACCTATGCCCCAAATATGAAGGCATGCACATTCATAAAAGAAACATTACTAAAACTCAAATCACACATAAAACGTCACACACTTATAGTGGGAGACTTCAACACCCCTCTCTCATCACTATACAGGACCACCAGACAGAAACTTAACAAAGAAACAAAGGAACTAACAGAAGTTATGACACAATTGGAATTAACAAACATCTATAGAACATTTCATCCAAACACAAAAGAATGTATCTTCTTCTCAGCACCACATGGAACTTCTCTAAAATCGAACACATACTCGGCAACATAGCAAACCTCAAAAGATACAAAGAAATGGGAATAGCCCCCTGTATCCTATTGGATTACCATGGTTTAAAGTTAGAATTCAACAACACAAATTGCAGAAACCCTACAAAGTCATGGAAATTGAACAATGCACAATTGCACCATTCCTGGGTCAAGGAAGAAATAAAAAAGAAATTAAAGATTTCCTAGAATTCAATGAGAATGAAGACACAACATACCCAGACTTATGGGGCACTTTGAAAACAGTGTTAAGAGGAAAGCTCATAGCACTAAGTGTCCACATGAAGAAACTGGAGAATAGTCACACTAGAGAATTAACAGTACAACTGAAAACTGTAGAACAAAAAGAAGAAAACTCACCCGGGAGGAGTAGATGCCAGGAAATAATCAAATTAAGAACTGAAATCAATAAAGTAGAAACTAGAAAAACAATACAAAGAATCAGTGAAACAAAGAGTTGATTCTTCAAGAAAATCAACAAGATAGACAAACTTTATCCAAACTAACCAAAAGGCAGAGAGAGACCATGCTAATTAACAAAATCAGAAATGAAAAGGGGACAAAACAGAATCATCAGGTCATACTTTGAAAACCTGTACTCCATAAAATTTGAAAATTTAAAGGAAATGGACAATTTTCAAGATAGATATCACTAACAAAAATTAAATCAAGAACAGATAAGCAATTTAAACAGACCTATTACCCCTAATGAAATAGAAACAGTCATCAAAAGTCTTCCAATCAGAAAAAGTCTAGGGTCAGATGGTCTCAGCACAGAATTCTACCAGAAATTCAAAGAAGAACTAATACCAGTACTCCTCAAATTGTTCCACACAGCAGAAGCAGAAGGGACATTGCCAAACTCTTTTTACGAGGCTACAATTACCTTGGTGCCCAAGCCCCACAAAGACACAACTAAGAAAGAGAACTACAGACCAATATCCCTCATGAACATTGATGCAAAAATACTCAATAAAGTACTGGCAAATCAAATCCAAAAAATCATCCACCATGATCAAGTAGGCTTCATCCCAGGAATGCACGAATTATTCAACATACAAAAATCTATCAATGTAATCCACTATATAAACAATCTGAAAAAGAAAAACCATGTGATCATCTCAGTAGATTCTAAAAAAGCCTTTGACAAAATCCAACAGCCCTTCATGATAAAGGTCTTGGAGAGATCAGGGATAACAGGAACATACCTAAAAATAATAAAATCAATATACAGAAAACCAACAGCCCACATCAAACTAAATGGAGAGAAACTCAACGCGATTCCTCTAAAATCAGGAACGAGACAAGACTGTCCACTCGCTCCATATTTCTT